AAATAACTTTTGTTTTTCGCGCCGAACAAGTTCCTGGAGTTGAGAATAATATCAGTGACTCTCTATCTCGTTCACAGTTAGTGCGTTTCAAGATAATGCAGCTTTACCAGACAAAGTACCTCAAAAGTGCATGTCAGTCTCACGATTAATGTTGCATTAAAGTCTACAGTGTCGGACTTATAGTGACATGTGTTATCAACTAGAACATCTTAGATTTATAAAGTTGGATATCGATTCGAGCCTATACTGCATTTCTTGCTAGCAACGGGGTTGTCTGGTTAGGTAAACTAATGCCTCCGATTTCTGAGGATATTTTGATTTATTTTGTCGCACATTATTACAAGAATGTGAGACTTTTACATACAACCATTTATTAGTATTTATGTGGAATTCGTTTTTTTTTTTGTATTTGATTATACAAATGAATCGACACTCCATACACTCAATATGATAATGCGCGCTATCAAACGTATACAAGGAGAGCATAATCCAAAACCACGTCTTCTTATTACTTTTCAGGTACTTGGGAGAATTGCAAATCTCTTATATCAGGTGAATTATCTACCTTTACTGATTATATGGTAGAAACGGCTTGTACAGTAGCCTTTTTGGGATTTCTGAGATGTGGCGAATTTGCATTTTCCAAAAACTTTGATTCTACTGTAAATTAAAGTGTAACAGGTTGAGATTTTTTATTCGTATGCTATTCTACACATTAAAACCTCTAAGACAGATCCTTTTCGTAACGGTGTCAGTATCCAGCTTCACAAATCAAATCATACCATTTGTCTTTTCTCTGCTATCAAAAAGAATAACGCAATCAGGAAGGGTAAAGAAGCACCTTTTTGTTTTTCAGATCCATTGTTTATCAAAGAGAATAGTAGCGCTTTATACAGGGATTTTGATCACCAGAAGTCCTAGATATTTGTGGGTACAACTCTAGCTTATATAATGGTCATTCTTTCCGAAATGGTTCAAGTACTTCGGCAGATCTGTTAATATTCATGACCATCTTATCAAAACACTTGGTCGGTGGACATCGGACAGTTATTGCCGTAATATTCGGATTTCCAAGGACACGATTCGGAAAGCACAGAAGTCTTTGACATTGTCTAGTAATATCTGAGTCATTATAGATATGTGGAAATTATCGAACTTGTATGTATGTTCTTTTACCAAAAAAACAAATGCACTTTGACTGTGAACTGGGACCGTAATTGAACATTTATATGAATAAACTTTACTTGTTATGACGTAATCAGCTTGAACATATCTTTATACTATATCATTTGTCAGAAGAAACAATGTATTTTAACTTTAAGCCTAATCTATAGTGACAATTATCTGATTCGGATTAATCTGTTTCTTAGAATATTCAGCCGTGTGAAGAGTTGCTGATTTTCCTTGATACATGTGGACTTATCTCTTACTATAATTTACTGACCTCGTATCATTCGGTTTTTGCCGAGAAATGTGTATTTCAATTTAGAGCTTGCAGCAAACGTGAAAATTAACAGATGTGAACTTTAGTTTTTCTAAATATTCAGCAATGTGACGATTTTTTCTGGATACATTCGAACTTTACCGTTATGTTATTGTGCATCATAATTTATTGATTCGTTCCTTCTTCTTTTTTCAACATGCAACTTGGACGCTCGCATTTACCCCTTTTAAAAATTCCTCCTCGCTTAATATCTTACAACTTGGGAAATTTCTCAGCTCATATCATTTTTTATAATCAGAGCAATGGCCATTCATTGCATTTTTTCACTGGTCAGTCTTTTAAATGACAATTTTGTATCCCCCAAGTTCTATCAACTTACAACTCACATTTCAGTAGTAAGACTACAGTTGATAGGATAGGTCACGTTGAATTTCCTGTCAACCACTGTTTCGCAAGCATCCATAGTTCGCACAAACTAAACCATTTACTACATATCAGGATTCAGGGAATTCGACGGAGAAATATTTTCAAAATTAGCTAAAATATTTTCAAAACTAGCTGAGGTGATTTCCCAAGGGCAATACTATATTACTTCAGTTTTTGGTAATAAATTTTATATTTCTTTCATATTTGTCAGTTTTCTCTTTTGAAATTATTCGTTTTCAGTCAAACATTTTGTCTCTATTATAGCACCACCAGCTTAACTTGGTACAGGTCATTAAGGTCAATTACAAGTGTATACCAGTTGCTACCTTCAGACGATAATCAATGTATTCTAAAATTTGTCACATTGTAATTTACGGTATCCCTCTTGTAGAAACTGAATGGTTATAAATCTGGTTTTGGGTTGGAAATTTCACAAGTATCAATAAGTAAACTAACAAAAATACCGAATCAGTAAAATTTAAAACGAAAAGTCCCTTATCAAAAGCTCAAACACATCAAACGAATGGAATTTAACTGTCATATTCTTGATTTGGTACAGGCATTTTCTTATGTAGAAAATGGTTGATTAAACCTGATTTTATAGCTAGCTAAATCTCCCACTTGTATGACAGTTGCTTAAAATTCCATTATATTGACAACAATGTGTGAACAAAAAACTCAGACATAATAAGTAAAAAAGTAAAAAATTGGGGTACAGCAGTCAACATTGTGTTATAATCTTACTCACTATAAAAGCATGTCAACTTAGAAAAATAAAATGGCATATAGACAAAGCTCATAAGCAAAAATGAAAGACAAGAATACAAAATGACCATAGCACAATAACACAATGGCGGGATGTATTAATACCAAGCCACGCCAAAAGGATATTACAAAAAATGGACTAAACAGTAAAGGTTAATGATATACAAAGACAAATAAAAGAACACTGTATCACATAATTAAGAAGATAAAAAAACGTCAGTACCTAGAATCTATACGTCATAAACATCATGTATTATTTGTGAAGTTCATACGGAATATTTATCAACAAGGTCTTTGTTTCTTCCGATGAACTTTTTTTAAAAAAAAGGTCGAGACGTTCTTTTACATAACCCTGGTTCTTTATCTTTAACTTTCTGCTCAGACACAATATTGATGAAAAAATAAACCACATGGCCTGGTGCAATGACCACGCTAAACTGATTAAAAAAATTCTAATTTAAAAAGTAGATCAAATAATAAAATAAACTACTAGTGTTTTGGTGTAAAGGAAGATCTTATCCTGCTGATCATTTTTCTTTTTAAAGTTAGTTCTATTTATCTATTATAGTTTTAAAGATGATAAGAAAAAACTCAAAAATGGTATAAATTATCATGACAGGGCAACAATTCCAATAATGAGATTAATGAAGATTTAGGCCATGATGGCTTTATTTAAAGATCTTATTTAAAGATATTTTCTAGCTGATCATTTTTCTATTTAAAGTTTCAATCTACTTCATTTTTCAAGATCATGAATGAGAATGCAAAACATAGGGAAAAATCGCCATTAAAGGGCAATTACTTAGATAAGGAATCGACTAACGATTTCGGTTGTGTTGACTTATTTGAAGATCTTATCTTGTTGATCATTTTTTGTCATAAATTTTTTCTCTCTCTTTTATAGTTTCCAATATAATGTGCAAATCTGTAAAACAATGGGAAGAATCATCACCAAAGGGCAATAATTTCAATAAAGAGTCGACTCACGATTTCGGGCAATTAACATATTTGTAGGATGATAGGCAAAATCTGTCTATCTATTATTATTTTAAAAGCAAAATGAAAAAAAAAATTGGTAAAACTCGTCTTCTCAGGGCAATAAATAAAGGCAACAGTAGTATACCGCTATTTGAAATTCATAAAACGATTGAGAAAAAAACAAATCCGGTTAACAAACTAAAATTGAGGGAAACACATCAAATATAAGAGGAGAACAACGACACAACAGAAACTCAACACTAAAATGCAACACACACAGAAACGAACTATAATATCACAATGGCCATTTTCCTGACTTGGTACAGGACATTTTAAGACAAAATGGTTGTTTGAACCTGGTTTTGTGGCTAGCCAAACCTCCCGCTTTTATGGCAATGTTAAATATAAAATTAAAATGACAAGATTACATGACAAGACTATAATACAAATAAATTGGAGAACATACAGGACAGAGACATACACAAATAATAGCTATCAAAAGGTACCAGGCTTATAATTTAGTACGCCAGACTCGCGTTACGTCTACATAATACCCATCAGTGACGCTCAGATAAAAAAAGTTCGAAAACCAAAACAAGTACAAACTTGAAGAGCATTGAGGACCTTAAGTTCCAAAAATTTGTGCCAAATACGGCTAAGGTTATATGCCTGGGATAAGAAAATCGTACAAAAGTATTTAGAATAATTCATACATTTGCAAACAGTAAATTTATAAAAATGACTATATAATAGATATACATGTTAACATCGATGTGGTGACTAACTACAGAATAAAAACGAATACATAAAACAACCTAAATAACTATTATAATAAACTATTAAACTGATAGTTTTGATGTCAATAGACAAAAGGTATATCTCATCGTTCTTAACATTTTAGCTCCTGTCAGATTTTCTCTATCTATAGAAGTTTCAAAATAAAAGACAAAAAAAATAGAATTTAACCCCTATGTTCTATTTTTAGCCATGTCGGTCATGTTTGTCGGTAGGCGAGGTCATCGAACAAATTTTTAAAGTAGATTCTGTATTGATGATTGTAACCAAATTTGGTTATTAAAGTATAACAAAAATACTACCAAATCCAAGGTAAATTCAAAAAGGAAATTCCATAAAAACTGACAAAAATCAAACGTTATCAACAAATGGAACGAACACAAAAACAACTGTCATTTTCTGACTTGGTACAAGCATTTTCCGAAGAAAATGACCAAGTAATTCAAGGGGAGATGATCCTTGAAAATGTTAACGAACGACGGATGACGACGGGTGCCAAGAATTGGCAAAAGCTCAAACTCGTCTGTTGGGCCATGTGAGCCAAACAGAACTGTAGAGAAAGTACAAATTGGATAATTTAATATATCAATACCTGCAGCAGTGGATACGTCAGCTTTTATTGTTGTTATTTGGTTTGTGATAGATGGTCCTGAAACTAAATAAAACAAATTTTCAAAGTATATATCACATCAGGTTTATTGTGAAAAGGACAATATTTTATTTGGGTGGACCTATATGATAAAGCATATACAACTATGTCTTGTTGTACACTTTATCTATTTACCGCGTTTTTAGATACTCTTCCAGATATAGATATGTCCATAGTATGTGTGTTGTTTGTTTGTCTTCCTATGAATTGGTTCTCAATATTATGATAATTGTAAGTTTTCAATGGAAAAACAGTGTATTATATTACATTTTTTCCAAAACATTTAAATTGATAATCCTGACAATATGCACACCGAAAGTAAGTTTTCAAATACTCAATAATCTTTTTCTAATATCTTCTACCCGGGAAATTTTGGGTGGAGTTGAGCTGTTGAAAAAAGCACCATGTACGCAAAACTGAGTAAAAATGTATTTGGTTCAACGAACCATCAGTCCGTATTCGCATAAACATCTACAAATTAAAACTAAATACTCCAGGAGGAGTTATGTGGACAAAGAGTCAAATTCATATAAAAAATTGAACAAACATTGCTATGTTCAGCTTCCCATCGTTTGTTAAATACTTCTTTACAATCAAAATTCTGACTTTAATCATCATTAGTATATGTAAAACATGATGAAGTATGAAATAATATCTATTCTGAAACCGACAGAATATGAGTGGACAAATTATCTATCCCTTAACCGGGAAGATGGCGGGCCGTGTTAAACAATATGTTGTACACGATCAACTGTTGTTGCAGGGACATATACAATACGGAAGATTGATTGATTTATTGATTGCTGATTGTTGTAACATGCTTTTTCGGACACTTACACGTTAAGATACGAATATGAAACCTGAGTTGTCATGAACTAACACAAAGATCCGGTTTTTAAAGAGTTTTAAAAGCTCACAAGGTACCACATGCTTACGGGAAAAGGCAGCCTAGATACCAGTTTTAAAGTATTTGTGTTTGCTTTAGTCTTACTAGACGCGGCAGAGATTGAACCTTTCCACAGTCGATGCGAGCATGTTAACACAATACTAACCAGGTGGTTGGATTGCAGAAAATTACAAATCGTGTTTGATATTTATACATAAATCATTACCTGCATCATTTGATACGTCGGATTTCACTGTTGTTATTATTTGGTTGGTGATGATAGGTCCTGAAACTAAACAAAAACAAATCTTCGAAAATGTATACTGTATGATAGTTTATCTTTAAGGAGCTCTTGTTCGCTTAAAATATGATGTTGATACATGTATTAATACCGTTGATCAATGCAGAGCTTCATTACAGTAGAAAAGTCAATATCAAAATCTATTATACTGAATACAAAATCTTTCAATTAAATTTTTAAGTATTTCGCAAGTGCACAGTAACCTTGGTTATGGAGGAGTCATGGTGCCAGAATAATTCAGTCCCACTCCGTACTCGATCTCCCCTACCTGCTAAGGACTAAAACAATACTTGTAATTAACATTTTTGCTAATGTAGCCAACATTAATAACTATTGTAATAAAACATATGAAAATAGTGGAATAAACTATTTTTGGAGTGTAAAACATTCTTTGGATGTTTTAGACAAATTAAGTGCTTTTGATGGTCATTTTGATTCTGCTGACAGTTTTGACTTTTCAACTCTTTGCACTACACTTCTACACAATCTTATTAAACAAAAGTTTTCCTATTTGATTAAATGGTCGTTTGAAAAATCCAATTGCAAATATATTTGCTGCATTTCATTTAAGGCCTTCTTCTCTACCGAGAAAGGTATATATGCTAAATATGCTTACTGAAGGTATAATGAGATGATTAAAGCGGTTAATTTTCTCCTTGATAACATTTATGTACGTTCAGCAATAATGTGTACCGACAGGTTGTATGTATTCCTATGGGCACCAACTTCAACAACACTTATCCTTATCTTGATGATATTTTTTTGTTAAATAATCAAGAATTTCTAAATATACTACCGAAATTTACTCAAAGGAATTGAGTAAATCAAATATGAACGGTAATATCTGTCCTCTCCTAGATTTAAATATTTCAGTTTACACGGGAAATTCTACACTAAAATTTACAACAAAACGGACGATTTTTCTTTCCCTATTGTTAATTATCCTTTTTTGGATGGTGATGTTCCTTTGGCACCATCTAACGGTGTTTATATATCACAACGCGTTCGCTATGCCTATGACTGTAGTGACATTTTAAATTTCAATGACTAATACTAATCTATGTAGTACTGGTTAATTATTAAGTCAGGGATCTCGTGACCACAAATGACTAAAAACCTTTACTAAATTCTTACATATGCACATTCACGGATTCTACAATCTGTCGAAACCTGTATTCTGGCATTGCACAAGGTCATGTTTTTCAGTGACTGTTAATGACGTCTTTACACTAAATCCATTGGATGTTGGATGTGTACTGAATAATACTTTAGTCTTAGATACACGATTTTGTTATTAGTTGTTATTCGCTTTAAACTAGCTGTCAGATCTGAACTAAGTGTCTTTTTTGTTGTCGGAATGTTTAAATAACCTGCCACATCGGTTTTTGTTTTTGTTATGTGTTTTTCTGCTTTGAATCGATTTGATGAGTTAAGCCCATTTCAACTGATTTTTATAGTTTGTTCAAATGTTGTACTCGTACACTACTGTCCCAGGATAGAGGGAGTGTTGGGCGCCCTCTAATATGGTTAACACCGCCACATTCTGTATGTGCCTGTTAATTTTCTCGTTTGAATTGCTTTACCTTTTTCATTTTGGGGCCGTTTAAAGCTGACTGTGCGGTATTGCTTTTGCTCATTGTTGAAGGCCGTACGGTGACCTATAGTTTTTAGCTTCTATGTCATTTAGTGTCTGGTAGAGAGTTGTCTCATTCGCAATTATCTTCTAGTATTCATTTTCATATGTCTATAAACTTCGATTTCAAGTATAATTGATTATAATGAATATCCATACTTTAATACTATAAAAACGTAACCTAAAATTGGAAAACTCGTTCCTTTTTTATTTTGAGCATGGCGACAGGAATAAATAACATGTCTCATAGCATGACCAATATCAGGGACGTTTCCGTGTAACTGTTTACTTGATATTATAAGGAATGTTCGCAGTTAGATTGCAGAAATCTTGCTTGTACAATTCTATGACAAATTATGCAAGAGCATTGCAAAAATTACACAATATTGACTGAGCATGCCTACTGGTAGCTTTCTGGAAGTTAAAAATTTAAAACTATGTGCTAAATCATGTTGATGGTACTTGAGTAATGCTATACATAAGATTTCAGGGAGGCATTGTTAGTTCCTTATGGGATGTTAAAAAAAAAGGAAAATCACAAAAATACTGAACTCTAAGGAAAACTCAATAAGGAAAATCCCTAATCAAATGGCAAAATCAAAAGCTCAAACATATCAAACGAATGGATAACAACTGTCATAGTCCTGACTTGGTACAGGCATTTTCTTATGTAGAAAATGGTGGATTGAACCTGGTTTTATAGCTAGCCAAACCTCTCACTTGTATGACAGCCGCATCAAATTCCATTATATTGACAACGATGCGTGAACAAAACAAACAGACACAATCGGTAAAAATGTCAAAAATAGGGATACAGCAGTCAACATTGTGTTATCATCTTAATCATTATAAAAACAAACAAAGGTAACAAAGAAGCACAAAAAGGCATACATCAAATTTAACATCCTCATTTTGCTTTGTTTCAATGTGTAGTTTCAGACCTTGTAAATTAAGTTTTCATTTGTCAAGTCCACAAATACTTCAAGGTTTACAAAACAAGCATATGTTTGAAATACGCAGTACTCTTCATTCAGTTTAAAATATATAACTAATCAATTATTATGTTTCAATAAGCCATGTTAATTTTTTAAACACAAAACGCATTTCAAATAATTGTTCTTTGTATTTTTAAATGAGCCCTTCAACAACTACAAAAATTGTAAGTACAACAAAATACAACTAGTACAAAAATGTACCAGTAAATATCTTTTAAGATATAATATCTTACAATACATTTACTGATTCTAAGACAGTTTTGCCAATGATGTTGTATTTGAATGGTTGTATGTGTGCGACCTAACTTGTTTAACAATTTGCTGTATAATTTGGTTACAGTGATGTGTAGACAACACGACAAGACATTGATATATTGTAATTTGTTTAGTTCCTGCAAGTTCCTGCAGCAATCAGACAGGAGGAGGACTAACTTCCATATAAATGTTTTCTGTAGGTCCGCAGCAAACATTCATTTGCATGGGAAATTGTTTGCATCAAGCTGGCAACACATTTGCAGCAAACATGCTGTAAATATAGATTCTTTTAAAGATTATTCTCGAGCCCTTTTGCGATGCTTGCTGCAAGTTAACAGCAAGTTCGATGCAGATCTGTAACAAATATTTCCTGGAGGCTGATTTTTTTCTTCAGTTAGAATTGAATTTCAATGATTAATTTGGAAATCTATATTGGCAACACGTTTCATACAACAGTAATTGCGTATAGGTTTCAACAATTTTTAGAAACACAAACTTTTGAGTCACCGTTTTGTTTTTTTTAAAGCGATGTAAATCTAACATCGGATGTAAACAACTACAGGTCATGTCCGGCCTTTAACAATGAGCAAAGTCCATATCGTATAGTAAGCATTAAAAGACATCAGAAAGAGAAAACAAACGGTCTGAGTTATGCTAAAACAAATTAAACAAAATACAATTATGTCAGACAGCGACAAACCACAACCACTTACAACAAGCACATGCACATGTGGCGGGTTTTAAAATGTTTATGAGAGCTTATACCCTTTAATCTTGTCAGTGGTGTAAAATTACAACATAACAGCAAACTGTATAATTCAGTTGGAAAGGAAATTTCATGACAATGCCTTAAGTCTTTAGTACTATAGGTTAAAAAAAGACACGTGACCACGAATACACGAAAGACAGAGTTGAGCATAGAACTAATTTTTAAGTGTTTCAGAAGTGAAGAGTCGGAAAATACTTCGAGGAAACGCACTTAAGTTAAATTGAAGAAAATAAGGATGACACGCGTCATTATACAAAATAATAGCTAGAAGTTGATTAATTTTTAAATTTAAACAAATTTACTGATTTATGATATATCTGTATAATTTTCATAATAAAGTGTAAATATGGTCAGTTTTGGTTGATGCGGTCAAATATATTTCTTAACAAACCAGCCTGAGATATAAAAACTACATATTTTCGGTAACGATTCAATATTTTGAATAAAAAGAGGACATGCTGGCACTCTAAATTAATGCAGACAAGACATGCAGTCAATCTGTTCCAATATTACTGTCATTGGTTTTATATAATCCATCCTGAGTTGACACATATACTGATTTATTATACAGGTATATAATTTCATAATAAAGTGCAAATAGGATCAGTTTTTGTTGATTTGGTCAAAACATTTTGTTATACAACCCAGCCTGAGATATGATAAATACTGATTTTTGGTGACGATTCAATATTTTGAATAACAAGAGGACATGCTGGCAATCTCAATTGATGCGGACAAAATTCTGAAGTCATAGTGTTTCAATATTGCTGTCATTTGTATTATACATTCCATCCTGATTTAACAACTTTATGATACTGTTATATATTTTTCATAATGAAGTGCAAATATGGACAGTTTGGTTGATACAGTCAAATAATTTTGATACACGAACCATCTTGAGATGTGAAAACTACTGATTATGGTGACGGTTCAATATTTTGAATAAAAACAGGACATGCTGGCACTCTAATTGATGCGGACAAAATTTTGCAGTCCTTGTGTTCAATATTACTGTCATTAGTATTATACAATCCTTCTTGCGTTAACAAATTTAATGATTTATAATTTTCATAATAAAATGCAGATGCATGACTTTTGTATGGTCAATTTTGATTAATGTGATCAAACATTTTCGTTTTTCAAACCAGCCTGAGACATGCTAGAATTGTTTGCACCAATACAACTTATTACATTTTCTTTGCTAATTCCTTAATTATCCAAAATAAATGATAAAATGTGCAGCTGAGACAGGATGACCCAATTTTTACTTATTAGATTATAAAATAAATAGAGAGCTCCATAAAAATTGACGGAGCTGAATTTCCGGATTATGTAAATTGAAAGTTCCGGAAATTTTTCTCATGAGTCCCACACAAAGCAAAGGTGTAAAGTTAAGAATTTTGCAACAAAAACATTAATTCAACAATTAAGGCGTAATTTATAAGTATGATTATAAACGTGTTTTTCGTGTCAACCCTTACATGCCCTATAACCATGATAACATGCGTTTCGTGTCATACCCTACATGCCCTTTAACAAAAATAAGTTTTCAAATATAACACTTCCGCCCGCCATGAGCCAGTAAATATTCTTTTTGAATAAAGGTATAATAATAAAAAATAAAACTTCTGGAAGAATTTGATAGTTCTTGAAATATTCAATGTACATTAGCTGTATAACCAATATCGACCGTTTTCGATTTGTTAAAAGGCAGATCACGGAGAAATTTGTATAACAAACAAATTTTTATGCGTACTTTCTATACAAATGTGTTTCATCTGTATTGTTTATATCAAGAAACAAAGACATTTATAAATGTGTTATCAATCGATGTAGAGCGGTCCTTGTCACAAGTTAACTTAATGTTGAGCAAACCAGCCAAAAGTTAACTTTAGATCAGGTCTGGTTCAATCGGAGTTGTCAAAATCGAAGTTAACTTATTGCAGGACTGCCAGTTTCCAAGTTAACTTCAGTAGCAGACCTGTCTAAAGTTAACCTTTTCGGCAGTCATAAAAGAGCCCTAGGACCAAGTCTGCTTTTTTAATTGTGGTCCTAGGACTGGTCGAAACAGTCCTAAAATCTGTCGCAGGTTAACCTTGACCAGTCAAAATGACTGGATAGCAAGTTAACTTGCTGTGCAGGCTAGGACTGCACCCATCTGTATGTTTACAAAATTCAAGAAGCATAGAGTACCTATAAAATGGAAATTTTTCAACCAAAAAAGTGTGAAACAATATGTATTAAGGAGATTTATTCACATCTTAAGAAATAAAAAATTCAGAATTCGACATTTTTTCAACCGATTTTTTTTTTTTAAATCGCCGAACCCAAAGTTGAACTACAACTGTCGCCAATGCAAATACTTACTTTTGTTTAACCTAATAGCCCTGTTCACATGCACATATTTGCATATAGTTGTAAAATGCATATGATCGCAAATACACACGTATGCAAATTAACAATGAGTGTACGTTTGCATGACCGAACCCCGTAATGCAAAAGTAAAATTGCATATATGCGAATTTACGCTGTTTTTATTGTATGAAAGCCAGTAAACGAAAATAACACATTATTAATTTCGTGCATTCGAAGCGCTTTTCTGGATTTAACTTCATCAGAAACTCTCAAACCCGAATGTAACAGTTGAAAATGTATTCCAATCAGATCGATGTGTTCAGCATTGAATGCTTTGCTGCAAACATTTAAGGTTGTGGACTATATTCGAGAAACCTGTATTCTTAACTCACTGAAAATAACGCCTTAATAAATGTCGTGCGTTCGAAGCGTTTTTTGGCTTTACCTTCATCAGAAACGCTCAAATTCAAATATTTGAAAAAAATGGGGACGTATTAATACGTTGAAAAGTAAGGTGTTAAATGATCAAAGGGGCATAAAAAGAATTGTTAATTCAGATAACGTCATTTTTCCTGAGGGAGTTGGAACCTTGCTTATTTCAATTTAGTCTGATAGGATTTATATCCTTGCCTCCGCACAATGATCTCAAAATGGAACCGAAGGGTATTAAAATATAGTCCGTAGGTCGACTTCTCCCGTTCCGGCAATAAAATATTTTATAAAATATGACGTCTGTTTGGCTTTGTTCGCTGCAGGTTAAAATTAACCCTAACCTCCCTTTGCGGGGTCCGAGGTGGCGTAGTCATGGCTAAATGTTCAAAGCCAATAACAACTAATTAAAACCATCATGCATCTAAGACTAAAATTTTAAGCAGTACACATCCAACTTCCAATGGATTTAGTGTAAAGACGTCAATAACAGTCAAAGAAAAACATGACCGTGTACAATGCCAAGACACATTTATCGACAGATTGTAGAGCCATGAATGTGCATATGTATATAAGAATAATATATAGTTTGATTTTAATTTACTGATTACAAAATCAATATTAATACCAATAAAATAATATTCAAAGATCTAAGTATAGTGTTTAATTGGTAACCTTTTAAAATAAGTTTATTTAAAGGCCCGGTGAATTAAACCGGATCGTATCTCAATTTCCGGGCTTGGTAAACAACACTTCCGTAAAAATTAGGATGTGTTATCCCGCTAAAAATAAGTTTTCTACAAGTACAACCACACTTCAATTAAAAATCTTTATATCTATTGAAGAATTTAGTAAAGGTTCATTTAAATCCAAAACGTCACAACAGACACGGGTATAGCGAACGATTTGTGATATATAAACACTGTAAGATGGTGCCAAAGGAACATCCCCGTCCAAAAAAGGATAATTAACAATAGGGAACAAAACATCGTCCCTTTTGTCGTAAAATTTAGTATAGAGTTTCCCGTGTAAAAATGAATATTTAAATGTAGGAAAGGACAGTTATGACCATTTATGTTTGAGTTATTTAAAATAAGTTCCTTTGGGTAAATTTCGAAAGTATATTTAGAAAATCCTTGATTATTTAACGAAAATATATCATTAAGATAACAATAAGTGTTGTTGAATTTATCAATGAAATGCAATTTAGACGGGTCTTTACTGAGTTTGGCCATAAACTGTGATTCATAACAGTACAAGAACTATTAAAAAAGCTTGGTTGCAATCTATTGTAGGGTTCTATAGTTTAATCCGGGAACTCCTTCCAGCTGCATTAATTTCGGTTTTTTTTTAGTTATCATGACCTTACACGTACTTACATAAAAATAAGTAGTGATCTTCCTCTCATATGTGACCATGCATCGAAGTAAGGTGACCTTGCATTTTTTTTAAAGTATTTGCTTCATGGTGTGAAAACCCCAAATTACAGCAGGATGTGCACAAATCTGATGGACTAGACGAACGGGTATAAAAACTATAATACCATAGCTTCTTCGTTGCTTTTGGTATCAAAATCACGTATGAATTTTGTGTTTTGCGTTCATATGGGGTCGATATCACTGCTGGTAGACGATGGTATCATCAACTCATGATCAGTAGTCAGTGCTTCAGTCCTGACAAGATTTTTAACAAATTGATCTTAAATTCTCCATATATTAAGACATGATTATCAAGAAACTAAGGTTCCAACTCCTTCAAAGTTAACCTTTATAGATGAATTTGGCTATTTTTATGTCCCTTTCGTTCATATAGTTTTTCACGTGTTTATGTCTTAAAAATCCTTGGCTTTCAAAAGTTTGTGTGAAAAACTCACCAAAGATACCAGGCTTTTAATTTTGTACGCCTGACGCGCGTTTCGTCTACAAAACACTCATCAGCTACCCTCGAATCTAAATAGTTGAAAGGCCAAATGAAATACGAAGCATTGAAAGCAAAAAATGTCGAAAGGTTTTGCCAACTACAGCTAATTAGGTTACATATTCCTTGGTTCGAGTGTTTCGGGTGGAGGTAAATTCAGGAAAGTGCTTCGGACGCACGAAATTAATAAAGTGTATTTTCATTTACACCACAGTTCCATGTTGTGGGTGTGTTAAGATCTTACTAAAAAGACACATTTAAGTTTTATATTTTTTTACAATATACAGAAAATGAGATTCATCCTACATTGTATTCAAAGAAGAACATAGTCGTTTTTCTATTAGAATTTCTTTTAATGCTTTCCTTTATTCTATCAAAAAATCATGATCGCTAAAGAATTTCTTGGAACATGACACACAGATGGGATTTAGTGTAACAGTAAATTCGGTCCGGTAGTTAAATTAGACTTTTTTTCCTAGGTAATCAAGTCCGTGACCATAATTTTACTAGGAATGTGAGTCACGGGATAAATTTTCCTAGGAAAATAAATCCATAGCTAGTAATATATGTGTGGCACTTAATTTACTAAGAACATTTTAATATATCCGTAATCTCATTTTTTTCTATGAAAAAGTCCCTTTAAAATTTCATTCTTAAGACATTCGTTAAATTAATCAATATTAAAATTCAGAAAGGAACATTTGTAAGTATGTACATCATAAAAGTCTGCGATATCAATTTTCCTAGGAAAAAAATCCGTTTAATTATTAAAAAACACCCATATTTTAATGAAATAGTGAAATTTTGATGCATGTTAATCAATTTTGAAACATATAACAAATGAAAATTAAATTATTTCTTTTATTACAAATTTTTCTATAAAAATAAAGGACATGGACGTTTTTACCTAGGAACAATAATGACCTGGACATGAATTCCTAGGAAAATTAGTCTGGGCACATAATTTCTAAAGATTAATTCAAAACTGTTAAACAACATTAAAATATACAATTAAAAATGTATGGTTAACGCAAATAATTCCCTTGTAAATACAAAAAAGCCATGTGAACGCATTACACGTTTGTATTTGCATACCTAGCCAAATTTGCACTGTACACGCATTAATTTGTAAATTTTCCCATGTGAACAGGGCTTAAGTCATCTTTACCCTCCCATTTCCTCCGATATAACTACCTCTTACATTTCTTCATCTACAACTAAAAAGATAGTGTTAATTAACCTACCTTTCGCTGTAGTTAGTGCAGAATCTATTTCTGGATCAGTAGACCCTGCTAAATTACAAATATATACAGTGCTTAGTAGTTAGGAGTGTATTACATCTATATGGATTTTTAAAAGACAAGTTTACCGAAGAAGCAATAATTCAATGCTTTTCGTAGGTGTTCTTGTATGTGTTAACTTTCAGATCTTACATAATTGTTTTATACCATAGTCATAGAATACTTTCAGGAAACGCCTCACCATCACTGTTTTACTCTGCATGATTCAATTCAATCGGGGCCAATGGAAGTATGCAAATTGTACTTTTTCTTACAGTAGGGTCACGTGTAAAGAGGTAGTAGAATATTCCGCAACTAGTTAAAGTCAATCACATGTTGTATACGTGCCTATACCCACATTCATTCCAAGCGATTTTTTTCGGAATACTATTCTTCTAAACGTCGATTTTGGGACAGTGGTATAACAACATATACAAATGCAGAATATGGAATAAATTGACCAGAACTGAAATCGATTAAACCTCATCACCTTGAAGAACTAAAGTAATCATAAAAATATAGAAGGATAAATGAAAACAAAGATAAAAATGATAATACACACTAATAATTAATGCGCAGATACGTCAATATAGAAATGAGTTTTGTTTTGTTTTATGAGGTACAGGATTTCAGATTAAATCAGTTAATCATAGTTTTAAATTTACCTGTACCAAAGAGCTAATTACACACAAACATCTTGTTCGAACACGTATATATACTACTATCTTATATCAGTATCGTTGAACAATTTAATATATATTCATTTATGAAAAAATCCGTTTTACATTCTATTCTGATAATTTTTACATTAGCCAATGACATTTAAGCCTTAAAAATTTTGAAAGCGTATATGAATCCTACAAACCAGAGAATCCCGAAAGTTATGTAAAACAGAAAGTAGAACAGAGCGTTTTCAGATCCTTGTTAGCAAAGCTTGAACACAGGATCTGTATTTTAATCAGATTGGGGTGAAGGTCAACATATGGTCCCAAACAATTTGACAAATGTCTATGGTATAAGTCTAGCTCTAAATATCTTGGAGTCTTTACAAGAATAAGCAAAGAAAATAGCTCGAGGTAATTGGCAATTGATTGAATGTACCGGTTCCAATTAATTAAAAGTTGTTCATACTGGAATTTATGTTAAACACATTAAATATTCTTAACAGCTAGTATGATCGTGTGCAATGCCATGTATTCAAGATTAGGCATATTGATGATTGATCTTTAAAAATCTCTGTTAGATTATTCACAATTTTTTTGACTCGCGGCAATTTAGATCATGCCATCTTTTTAATGATACCTGTTTGTTGTTGAAGATTTGATTTTCACCTCATGATGTCTTCTACATACTTTTGTCGCTGGATTTTTTTCAAACAGGACCAGAAAGATTAAAATCAGGGTTATCCAATAATCAGATAAAGTTGAACGATCATTACGACATTCTAATACATTTTTCCTTTGCACAAAAAGGGTAAGCGTTTAAAAACATATGCCTGTCAAAAGTCAGAAGCTTGTAATTTAGTAGTTGTCGTTGGTTGCTGTCTGTCTTATTGGTTTTTCGTTTGTTGTGTTAAGCATACATCAGGCATTAATTCTCTTTTGAATTGTTTAATTCAGATTTTATCATGCCGGGGCCTTTTATATCTTACTATACGGTATGGGTTGCTCATCGTACAGTGCCTAATAGTTATTTACGTCCCCGCCCTTTGGTATTAGGTATCTAGAACATTATTTTTACCTTGTCAAGCTCTTACATTTTTCGTAATACCTTACTCCCGGTTTACTAATACTTCCCGATGTATATTTGACTGAGTTCAGTAAACAAGACTGATCTGATGATGAGTAAAACATTGATTGACACAATGTCTGTCGTAAACATTGTCGACCACAGTCTATTGCTGTTAAGGTGTTGACTGAAGCAAGTAGTTTGTCAGTAGAGTAAAATTCATCCAATATTTTATTCACAGTAAAATATACCGGATCTGAAAATAGAATATAGAATAGGCTTTAGTGGTTTTTCTTTTAAAAATATCAAATACATAAGCAAAAAAAAAAACATCTTTGCAACAATACATTTTATGTGTCTAATACAGAGGAAAACGGACGCAGATGTTAACACGTTTAGGTCACCGTACGGTCTTCAACAATGAGCAAAACCTATACCACATAGTAAGCTATAATAGGGCAAGAAATGACAAATGTAAAACAATTCAAACGAGAAAACTAACGGCTTGATTCGTGTACAAAACAATAAACGAAAAACAAATATGATATACAGCAACAAACGACAATCACTGAAGGCACATACAGAATGTAGCGGGGTAAAACATGTTTGCTGGCGCTAAACCCTCTTCCTAGCCTGGGATAGTGGTTTAACAGTACAACATAAGAAGAAAGTATAAAAATCAGTTGAAAATACAGTACTTGCAAACTTAGGCGTTACTATTTTAGCGATCAATCAGCGGTCATCGATCAGTCACCGATCAGTCAAGTTCGCGTCAAACTCACGTCTCCAATTCGTCAGACTTATAGTAAAAATCTTTGACTGATCGGACGGATTGACCTTTCTGACGGACTGAATTCTAAAAAGTCGCCAGTTGAACTCATACAAATAACGAAATCTGAGTTTAGTTTCATTTAATTAAAATGGCGCCACGGAAAAATACGAATCGTTCAAGTACAGAAACTAGACATTTTATTATTAATCATTCAGCAAATGTTTAAGAATTAAAATTGTGCGTTTGTTAAAAGAGAAGAGAAATAGGCAGATAAAACTAAATTTAAATATTATTAAAGAATTGTGATTGTCGTTTATATTTAGGTTATTTTTTTTCAAACCAAATGAGTGCTAAAACGGTGTTTATCGCGATTGTTAAATAAATTTTCCGAAAATGCCTTGAAAAATGAAATGAAATGATCATTTATTGCAAATTTCGGTGAATTATTTTCAATAAAATAGAGAAATATGAAGGTGGGACACTCTAAATCAATGTAAACAAAATGTGAAATATATTTTTTTCTTAAAATTCATCATATTTTTGGGAAACAACCCAACAAAAATAATTATATCCAAAGATGGTTTTTGTTTTATTAAATTTTAATGAAATGAAAAAAAAACTTGCACTCTTATTCAACACAAAGAAGAGTTTAAATATCTTAATCCCTAAATTATTCAAATTTTGTAAAAAGTAACTTATCCAAAGGCAATTAAAATAACTGATTGCTAACAACAGTGCATTTTTTTTTTTGATAGTAAGTAGAAACATTTATATTTTTAAACAATGAAACAAAAAAGAAATAACTGCATTCTTATTCAACACAAACTAAAGTTTAAGTATCTCTTTTCTTATATTATTCATATCTTATTAAAAAAATACTTTTATAATGACAAGTTGCAAATAACGTTGCATTATTCATGATATTAAAGAAGAAATATTTGCATTTTTAAGCAATGCGAACAAAATTTAAGTATATTTTCCCTAGAATTCAGCATATTTAATTAAAACCAACCAATCCTGATATACAGAAAGTACTAAATCCAATGGCGGTTCATATTTCCTTTAAAAAAAAAATATTTCATTCTTATTCAACACAAACAAAAGTTTTAGTATTTTTATCCTTATATTATTAAAATTTTGTAAAAAAAACTTATATTAAGGCCTATGAAATAGCTTATTACAAATAATATTGCATTATTTTTTATAAAAGGAGATATATTGGCAATTTTAAACAATTCGAACAACATTTTAGTATCTTTTCTTTGATATTCATTGAGTTTTATGAACAACAACCCGTCCTGATGTACGAAAAGTACTAAAATCCAATGACGGTTCAAGATTTCTATTTAAATAAAAAAATAAAATGATTGAATTCTTATTCAACACAAACAAAAGATTTAGTATCTTTATCCTTATTCATTCTTCATATTTTATATAAAAATAACTTAGCCTGAGGCATTTGAAATATCCGATTGCTAACAACAGTGCATTAGTTTTGATAAAAAGAAGAAATATTGGCATTTTTAAACAATGCAAACAAATTTTAGCATCTTTTCTCTGATATTCATCATATTTTATGAAAACAACACATCCAGATAAACAAAAAGAACTAGAATCCAATGACAGTTCAATATTTCCATTAGAATAAAAAGATTAAGTATTTTTTACCTTACCTTATTCAAATTTTATAAATCATTACTTATCGAGAGGCATTTAAAATAACTGATTGCAAACAACAGTGCATTACTTTAAAGTAAAACAAAATTTGGGCATTATGAAACAATGCAAACAAAATTTTCATATCTTTTCTCTTATATATTTCATCATATATTATCCAAACATCCTGATGTACAAAAAGTATTGAATTCCAATGGCGGTTCATGATTTCGATTAAAATAAAGAATATATTGCACTCTTAATCAACCCAAACAAAACTTTAAGTATCTTTACTGTTATATTATTTTCATTTCCATCATCTAGTAACATTAAAATGCATGACTGCTAAATAGGGTACTTATTTCAAATGATAACATTTTATCTCTTTTTAGTGATACAGAAACATTCTGAGCATGACATTATTCTGCACTTATGTAATTTATTTAGCAGAAAAATAAAAGAACCAATAATGAAAAAATACACATAATGCGCGAAAAGTAATTTATATTTTTTTTTTATATGTTATGCGACCAAGTTGATTACAAATAAACGAGTAAAGGCGTCTTCGTAGAGGTCTATGTTTATCGCATGTAAACTTATATATGTATCCGTCAGATCCGTGCATATAATTCATTTACTGATCGATCGCTGACCGTTGTCAACGTAACTCTCACATAGTTTATTTGACGTATCTGACAAATTCTATGGGTCATCGATCACCGATCATTCATCGATCAGTCAAGCATCTGTCACCGATCATTCACCAATCAGTCAAGTTCTCGTCAAACAGTAACGCCTAAGGTTGCAAGTACTGTAACTCGTGATTCTACCACCTGAAACATTTTTCAATTTTGTTTTTTCAACATTTACCATCAACTGCATTTTTTTTACAATATCTTAAAAGAAAGTATTTAAATATTCTGTTAATTAAAACCTTTCTTGCTTTAAAATCTTTCTTGCTTAAAGAACAGTCCTATCAGCCTATGATATACAAATATTTTAAGCAAATCGTTAGCTCGTTTTCCTTATCTAAACTAATAGTTTCAAACCAGTTTAACTTGATCCCTCCAAATTATATTGGAGATCATTTAGATAAACGGGAAATAAGTCAAGAGATATAGTTTTTTCCGTCGAACGGCGATTTCGCATTGGAAAAACACTGATATCTCATGTTTATGAATTATATGTAACTTAATATACTTATATAT